TAGTAAACCTAGTATCATAGTATCACGCTTATACCTTGTACAAATTACAACCAATGTAAAATATGGGATGTGTGGTGCTGGTACATGCTATTAATTATCGTTGTACATTTGAATAATTCCTTGGTTAAGTTAAAGTGGCAATAGAAAAGTATGTTTTCTCTAACCTATCATAAAGAAGTCAGTATGAAAATCCCTACTTCCTGCCAATGGTTATTAAAGAAAGAAAATGCCGGACAACCATGAGACCAACACATCACAATCTACTCCAGAGAGAGAGGAGCAATGAGATAAATAGATATCTACAGAGTCAGGGAACACATAATGCACTGTACACACACACACACACACACACACACACACACACACACACACACACACACACACACACACACACACACACACACACACACACACACACACACACACACACACACACTCGCCTTGTTTTTGCCCCAACTCAAATGTAAGATTACACTTGAATAGGAAGAAATGTATCTTAAATCTGTGCAGTTGTGATGATTTGTTCTTATTATATCATAGTTGTTCCTCTCTTCATATTTCCCATGACTGATATTCACTTTTAATGTCTGCTACATTTGCTATGTTGTTTAAACAAGTTGTAGTCAAGAGTTTGCTGGTGGATCACTGGCTACGTGGATTGGATTGAATGTTTACAGTCCCAGCTTTAGAATCAAAGTGGTGAAGCTGATTTCAGTTATCACAGGGTCCACTGTTGGAACAAAATGTCAAAAATAATTCAGATTTGAATTCAGCATAAGACTTTTTGTTAATGTCTAACTTTTCCTTCTTCTTTATGTACAACATTAATATATATATTTTTGACTTCATTCATCTCAGGCACCACAAGCTGCCTCTGTGTATGAAATATACAATGTTAATAAACTTGCATTGTCTTGTAGAGTGTACACTGAAACAAGTTAATAATGGCTTTCACTCCATCATGCACACGCTGATGTTTATGGAATAACATTGCCACTGGCTTCCTATTTGTACAGAAACGCACCATCACACTGGACGCGCTGCACACACTAACGTTTATATCCCAAACAAAGAGGAGGAGCAGCCGCTTCATATTCAGGTAAATTAGAAAGTACACATTTTTGACCGGCCAGTGTCTTGGAACCTTCACACGCACTCCTCTGCTCCTGAACCGTCAGCTCAGGTAAGCCAAGGGATGATGGAGCAAGGCAGCATGGGAGTCAGGGTTAGGGGTCAAGGTCACCTTTTGGCATAGAAGTGTATATTAAGGGGTTCTCAAGTAATTATCAATTATGTTGAATGTTTTATTTTAGTGTGAGAACAGAGTGTTTTGAACAACCAAAGATAGTACCAGGAATTTCAGTAGTTTACTGATATGAGTTTTTCAATTGCTTTAGAGATTTGGATAGAATATATTACACATTTTGTAGCGGATACTGTATGCTTGAGATTAACATGAATTGTTTATTGCTAATTGTAAATGTCAGGTGGGGCTGCTGTGTGTCATATATGACATTATGCCTGTGTATAAAATGCCCTACAATGATGTATGGGTGGATTTCTGCAGCCTTTTTGCCATCTTTAAAGAAACAACCATTTTTTCAAATAGAATTATGATGTTTGAAAAGCTCAGCACTGCAGTGACTCTGTTAACAAAATAGTAATGAATGCAGGGGATGTTGGCTGAACATCAATAAGAAGGGAAGGAAAAACCTTTTAAAATAACTTTAAACCAAGGCGGATAGTTTGTTACGTCGGTTGCTGCTGTGTCTTCTGAAAGTTGGATGCATTTTAAAACATGGGATCTTGAAGACAGAGGCCTGTGCATAGTTTGACCTTGGCTAATGTCATGCTAAACTGATAGCTGCAATAACATTAATAGATGGAGGCCCAAGGACATGATAAGGAGTTTTGTGTATTGACTTCATTTTCATTTCCTGAAAATCTGGTGCAAACTTTATATATCTGCAAGAACAACATGCAAGCGTGTAAAAAGCATGAAGCATGTTTTATCTGTTGCTGAGTTCACTGTGATATAACAAACCAGGATGTTTAAAAACACATAATTTATTCAGAGGGAAAGAAAAGAAGCAAACAGAGAGGAAAAGCACTGATTTCCAAAATGCGGTGAATCCAACCTCATGGGTGTCCAAGATCAGTCAAGGTTATAGTAAGGTCAATGAAAAGTCCTGTTGCACTTACAATTCAATTATTTAAATAAGATGTCTGAACAACTTTTCCGAATAAGGAACTGACATAAAAAGGATTATACAGCAGCTCAACCAAATTCTATCTAAGTATGTTTTTAATACATAAAAAAACCCAAAAGAACTGAATGCCGCCTTTTGTTAAACTTTATGATTTGTTTAATATATCTGTCTATCAACTCTATAAAGTCAGTTATAGCTGCTCATATGAGGTTGAAAAGTGAGAGACAGAAAAACCACAGGTTCAAATCTCCTCTGTAAAGCACATGACAGTGTTTGGCCTGATTGGATTAGCTTTTTCTGGAGTTTGATGGAAAATTGTCAGGAAACCTGCTGGGTTTCACCACAAGACAAAAAATGATCCTCTGTTTACTCTCAAAACACCCAGAATGCATCCCTGCTGACGAGACACTGACCTCTCACACAACAAGGACATTCTCTTCCCGGGGAGAGGGGGAAGTGTGTGTGTGTGTGTGTGTGTGTGTGTGTGTGTGTGTGTGTGTGTGTGTGTGTGTGTGTGTGTGTGTGTGTGTGTGTGTGTGCGTGTGTGTGTGTGTGTGTGTGTGTGTGTGTGTGTGTGTGTGTGTGTGTGTCTGTGTGTGTCTGTGTGAGAGACAAAGGGAAAGTGTTGGGGAAAATGTTTTCTTTTATTGTCTCTCACGATCATGTCCTTTTTTCTTCTCTGTGTCTTTATATTTTTCTATCTGACTCTTAGTTCTGTTAAAGATGGGACACCTCACTATTGTGGCTGTTATAGCAGGTAAATACAATGCCAAAGTCTACGTATCTATTCAAGGAAAAAAATAAAAGCATTAAAAAGTTAGCTTGTTCGAAAAGCTTACCAAGGCAGTAACACCATTTATTTCTGAATAACTCTGGAGCAAGGCAGGGGAACTCGCCATCGTCCACATTAACATTTCTTTTGTCCGATTCTCTTTCAGTTCTCTTCACCCTGTTTGTGGAAATCGAAGCAAGTAAGGACCAAACTCCACTTTCACCTGAGACTGGTTTGTTGAGAAACTGGTGTTGGGAATAAATAAAAGACACATTCATTTGTATCTCCATAACAATGGCCACATTCAAAGCAAATGAACTGTTACCATACCAAAATGGATGCTTAAAAACAACAACATTTAACCCTGACACATAGGCCTATGAGTTGTTGCTGCCAACTGTTGCACACTTGCTGGAATGAGGCGTGAAAATCTTGTACATCTTTTGAAGCGAGTTGAAGTATGTCCTGTCACTAATGTTCCTTTCACCTTTCTTGTTTCTCCTCCTCCTCGTGTGTTTGGTCTGCAGATCCATTTGCTTACAGTAAGTACCGACATTCTTATCTCCTGCTTCTTATAATCTGCCCAATATAACCTAGACTAGTGCAGAGTATCACTTACATTATGCATACAAAACATTCTTTGGAATTTAATTCTTACCCTGTCTAACAATATTGTTTAACAGACTATCAAAGGCTACGAATTGGAGGGCTAGTCTGTGCCAGCTTGTTGTTTGTTGGAGGACTCATGGTTTTACTTTGTAAGTAACTGACACCTCACAGATAAATAAGTCTACATGTTAAACCTATAAAAGCAAAGCTATTCCAACATGAGAATCAGAGAAGTAGTAAAAGTATCGACTGTGTGTTGTGGGTGTAACCTCAGTAACATGTCCTACTTTGCCTTCACAGATACCAGGTGCACCGGGAAGAACAAGTACGTTTTTTTTTCGAAATCTCTGTCTGAACTTTAACATGTGACTTGCCCCCTCTCTCATTGTCTCCCTCTCTCTTTTTTTTCTTTCATCCCAAACCGCCATGCTAACTGCCACTCCTGCCATCCTCTCTTACCTTGTAGAAAAGTGGAAGATGACAACAGTGAAATCTGATCGGGGGCATGACTGACAAACCGGTTCCGGCCAGGAAGAAGAGCTGAAAGGCAAGGGGCGGAGAGATGTGGCTGCATGGTGGGGAGTGTTTTTGTAAGAAAACACACAGGTTCATTTGATTACACCTGTACAGACCTGTGCAAGACTGTTTAAGCAAGATGTAAAAACAGTCTGTAAATGTCCCTGTCATGAGTATGATGAAATAAATGTGTTCTTGTTTTTCAAATGTATCCACTTTGCCCAAATCTGATATGTAAACTGGTATGTTTATCCCCTAAAAGCCCATAGACCTTCACAATTAACACATGCTGCTTAGTTTGGTCAATACCATAATGATGCACACGGATATGCTGCATTATTATAAACATAAGGTGGTGTTTAGTCATTTTGGCCTCCTGTTGTTTGCATGTATTGCTGTATAATAAAATAGTTAGATAAATCATGTTGTAAACCATTTTAACCTTGACAAAATTTGAAAAAGATTTAAGAAACATTTGGCTTGCATATCAAAATTGAAAATAAATTACTCCATGCTCAACCAAATTGTAGTATGTCAGTGGTTTTTTTAAGGGTAGCTATGTAGCCTAGCTTGTTTTACTCTTTGACCTTTAGTGACCTTAACTTCAGTTATTATGACTTCCCATTGAGTTACTATAACTTTTGTATGTATTATATATTACATTATATTACCATATTATTACTATCACTTGTCTTTGCTACAAATGTTTTGTTGTTTTGTTAGGCCTCTCAATATTTATAGCCCAAACATCCCAGTGAAGTAAATCAGCATAACTCGACAAACTTTGGCGTCCTCGTTCTCGACAAGCAAACATTAATGGTTCCTCCTTCTCCCGGCGCTCGGTCTGACTGACTCTGGGTCAGCCTCCACGCCCCGCTCCTCATTAGCTTTCTGCTCTCCTGCTGCCAGCCAAAAAACTGAAACCGACCCAGGACCAGGACTCACGGACAAAACTCTAGCGTTTCAAACTCAGCCCCCTTTTCTAAAACCCAGCCAACCTGTAGAGTGTCACCGTGCTAAGGAAGGCAGGGTGTTGGCGTGCTGTGTGGAGGAAAGTCGCTGTTTCTAACTCACATATCCGCCTTCTTGAGAGAAAATTCCTCGTTTTATCCGCTGCTAAACTCAACTCGTGGGAGGTAAGTGTTGAACAAAGAAATGTGCTAATGTTTGCCAGAAGTTCCTTTATTTAAGAAAAAACATGTTTATACAGTTACAATTATCCAGATAGGCTAGTGCGCAAGCATCTTTTAGGGCAAAATAAGCAGTGTAGCTAATGTTAGGCTAAGTTTTATGAAACATTTTATGTAGCTTCACATGTTTTTCTGCGGTAAAAAACTTAAATTGCTTTATTTTCTTATTTACGGTTCTTTTGAGTTACTTAAAAGGGTCCACACTAAATATATAACGCGCTTTTCCTGACTAAAGTCTATTTTGTATGGAAAGTTCTTACATTGGCTATGTCATCATAACTCGTCCTAAGCTTATGATGTTATTCGGCTGACATTTTTAGTCAATGCAGGACAATGGAACGGCAAGCGCCCATGGAGCAATGTGCGTATCACGGCCAGCGTCCCCTTCACGCGCTATGATGCCATCGTTCATGTAAACGATTTCGACAGTTTTGAAGTATATATGATGCCATTTGTGTACTGTGTCTTTTTTACTTTTAGTTCTTGTTTAAACCCACCAGATAAGAGAAAACTGCCTAAGTAAATCCGGTCTTAACGTTTTTATATTTGATGCTTAGCCTTATCCTCTTATACCATTTTCAAAATTAGCATTAGGCTGCTAACATTATATATCAGAGTGGACCTGTAACACACTGCATTATTTATTGAACACATACTGGAAGGTGTGTGTGTGTGTGTGTGTGTGTGTGTGTGTGTGTGTGTGTGTGTGTGTGTGTGTGTGTGTGTGTGTGTGTGTGTGTGTGTGTGTGTGTGTGTGTGTGTGTGTGTGTGTGTGTGTGTGTGTGTGTGTGTGTGTGTAAAAAGGCCAGTTGATAAGAGCAGTGGTGATAACAGTTTGCTACTATGTGGCACAAGGACACATTGGGACATGGACAGACAGAGGAGACATCAAATACTGCTGTAGAACAGTGAGGAATATCTGTGTTGTATAATTAAAAATACTTTTGTTGTTTTAAGTCAAAAGCCTCCACATATATATTGGTAGGAAACAAGTCACACACATTTTAGGAGCTGTAACCTTCAAACATTAAGCGTATTCGTTAGAAGATATGATGAGTTAATTGGTTACCATCTTGTTGTCATCAATGCATTTTTTAAGCACTATTATGGGGCAGGTCTCTTCATTTTGTTTATAGGGGATGTGGGTGTGGGACAAAATGCCTCAAGCAATTGTCTGAATATAAAGGGATAGATATGTTTACGTCTGCCGCAGGGTTGTTTTGTTTTGTTTTACATAATCAATGTTGGATTTTTTACCCATGTTTACAGATACAGATTGTGTTGTTGTGGTTAAACAAGAAACCATAGATAGACATCAGTTCTAGTGTCCATTGACCACAATGTGTTAATTTTTACAGTACACATTGGCCCTTAATAAATCAATTGTGCAAGAGACACAAAATAGGGAATAGGGAAGAATGCAGGTTTTTTTGCATTGGAGGTTGCCATGACGTGCTGCGAATGTAACATACTCTTTGCAAGAGATCTACACTGTCCTGCAACAAGTAACCAAGTAACCGAAGAACACTAATAACTAAGGTAGAACTGAACAGAAAGTGGTGGCAACAATGTACAGAAACCCAAAGTACATTAACATTCCTAATCACATTCTAAATATATCATGAATGATATTTAGCAGTGCAAGAGAAGATCCATTTAAGTTTCCTTTGCTCCATGCATTATACATTATGTGTTAATATTTTATTATAAATAGCAAGTCACTTATGTGCACAAATGCCCCCTGTGGATAACTAACATTTCCAGCAAAACAAATCAATATTTCCCATGCAATCCATTAATATGCTTGCATAGTAAAGAAAACAAGACTCAATGTCAGTTACAAAAGTATTTGTGGATATGTTAGTGACACACTGTGAGAATTGTTTCCCTGCAATGTGATCTGTATCTGTATAGCAAACTTTAGGGATCATTTCAAACAAACGAGGACACCTCACACATTCGACTCACAACTGTCTAACTAGCTTTTGACGGACTTGAATGCACCGTAGTCTCCTTTGATATTAATACAGTTTTTCAGCCTAAGAGAAGTGAAGCAGCGAGAGTTACAGGGTGAGAGACAGAGATGGAGGGAGGGTGAGGGACGGTGGTGACAGACTTTCTTTCTCAGGTGAAACAAACTTAGCTCACTGTGCTCACCTCCTCACATGACAACAATTCCTAAAAAAGAAATGAGGAATGTGAACAGCTGGAGGAGAAAAAGTGAGAGCGTTCTCACGCGAGACACTCTCCCTCCTCACCTTTCCTCATAACACTTTGGTGTCTCGCAAACACAGATTTAGAAACCTCAACAAGAAGACATTGATTTAACTGTGACCTTCCCTGTGTAACCACAGCACTTTATTCTACAGCTCAGTAGCACAACTAATCGTTTACAATTTGTTAACCATAGTTATATTATAATACAACTACATCATACAATTACCTAAATATAACGCTTTCATACATTGAATACAAACCTGCAAGTTTCTCAATTTAGAATTGGTTTTAGTTACTTTATTGCAAAAGTAACTCTTCAATATGTGCTATATTAATATTATATGTATGTAAAATGAGAGGAAGTGTACTCCATCTTTGAATCCGCTGTATGACTGCAGTCTGTTGTTGCTATCCGCTCACTGGGAACCTTGTGGTTACCATGTGTGACTCATGGCTCCAGTATGATCCCCTCCCTCTTACCTTCTATTTGTCTGTTCCTGCTCCTCCTCTTCCTCCTCTTCCCCAACTGCACTTTCCCTCGTCCTGCTGCCTCCCTCTCTCATTCCCCCGGGCTTTGATCCCTCTTCCTCCTTTGTCTCCCTCTCTTGCTCACTCTCTTTTACCAACTTCATTTTTTGTTTATGCTTTTACTCTCTCTCTCTCTCTCTCTCTCTCTCTCTCTCTCTCTCTCTCTCTCTCTCTCTCTCTCTCTCTCTCTCTCCATTAGTAAACTGCTTCCGCTGAATCCCCAACACCATCTGTCCCTTCCTTTCTATCTCTCTTGCATACTTTCCTATTACATATTATAACTATATTGACACTGGTAGAGTGCAGTCCTTTGCCAGTACATTCAATTGCATCTCGGATGTTCCCATTTCCCAAGTGAGGAAGTCGTTCTTCACCATGAGCTTTATGTTGTAATGTGGAATAATGATGGTAGAAAGCTTTGTATTTTCCAGATTATTTTGACACCACATTAATGCAGCAGAAATGCCCTTATCTCGCAATGTTAACACAAGCAAAAACTAAATTGCTTACCAACTGGCAAGTTGTAACCCGTCCAAAATGTTAAGGCTTGCCACGTGCTACACCAATTGGTCAAGTTTACTCAAAATCAGGCCAGTAGTAGATTAACTGACAAAACAAACCAAATTCCAAACGGCTAAACCCCTAAAAAGATCTGTAATCAGCTAGAAGAGAGAAAACATACATTCAAATACGAAAAGTAACATTTTATTCATTTAAAAAAACTCTGAAGTCATTGGCTTTATCAACCATATTTCCAGACATTCAATTACAAAGTAAAATTATTAACTTAAGTCCAAAGTAGATTCATTGTATAGTGTATTGGTAAAGTGAAGGGCCGAACAAGTTTAAATCAAACTGTCTAAATAAAAGCTGGTTCTTTCTCACAGATGGAAAAGTAGGTTGACATTGTGTTTAGTTCACAACATGTGCGTATGTGATGCACTCTGGAATTTAGTGCTGCTACTTTAGGAATAAAAAATACCACTGAGAATAGGCAGCTGTCTTTGTAGTGCAGCACAGGAACACACACGCTCACACACACACCAGTGTTCAGCATTCAAATTGTTGGGTGGGGGGAGTTTTGGAAAAAGAGGACAAAGTAACGCATAGATGCCATGCATACAACATTTCGTACTTTTGATTACAGAATAGAAAAAGGAATATATGTTTGTAAAAAGGGTTAATCTTTTGTAGACATGATGAATAGTGTATGTTCACGTGTTACATAGTCCTAATACATTTGCCCTGTGACCCTGATTAGGATAAGTCGTTTTAAGAATGGATGCTGTAGTAGAACGCTTCGCTACATATTTCTTTTTATATGACTATAAATGTTAGTTAACTAAAGACTTGACTGTGTGTGTTTGTGTGTATGTCCACATAGTGGTTTCTATGTGTGTTGTCACATAACTAAGTCACAAGGAGTGAACACATGTCGCAAACACAAAGCCAACTGGCAGCCTTTCTCTGTGTGTGTGCACTGTGTCCCTTTGTGTGTGTTTTTGTTGCTTTTGTATTGGACTTTTTTTTTGTCAAACCTACATATTTCATTGTAGTGAGCACTCTCAATTGTGTTGCCCTGCTGCTGGACTTAAGAATAGGACATTAGGACAGTCTACCCCTGCAGATAGTATTCATCTTATTTGATCAGATTTTGAACTAGAATGCGTCTCAAATATTTAGGCCTCCACTTCACTACAATGAAGTTGAAAAGATTAACACTGGAGAGCACAACGAGTAAAAGTAGTGCGTGGGATACTGACTGAGTGGAGGATGCTGGCCACATTCCGGAGTTTGGACTCTTTTGGCGACCTTGCAGCTTATTGTGTAACGTCACTGTGGGATAAGAGAGAAAGAGAAGAGTGGGATGGAAAAGAGAAGACGATAGTGTTGGAGACGGGCATAGAGTCTGGAAAGCTTGTACTCCAGGGACTTAGTTAGCAAGGGATAAATGAGTGGGGGGAAAAATAACAAAGAGGAGAGGAGAGGGGTAAAGGAGCAATGACACACAGAGGTGAGTGGGGAGAGGTTTAAAGAGGAATGGAGACGAGACAGCAGCTCAACAAAGGCAGAAGAGTGTGAAACAGTGATTTGATACAAACAGGCAATACCGACAGTATAATGGATGAAAGGAGCAGGCAGTGTAGTGATAGTAAACAATGAGACAGTCCTAAAGACAGGGAGAAAAAGAGATGTAGCTGAAAACAAACAGGCAGAGTAGCATGACCAGAACAGAAAACTCTTTATTAGCTGGCACCAGGAGAGATGTGGCTCCGCAGGGAATTAGTAGGCAGGGGAAAAGAAAATACTTTACACATGATGTCTTCATCTTCAAGGTATTGAGCTGTGTTTGCCTTTTTTGGTATCAAACATTTGCTGAATATGATTGTTGTTAGTTTTTTTTTAAGTTGTATGTAGCGTGAAACTATAACTAAATCAAATCTGAAACAATTTACAGGTTATTGGAAAAATGTATCTACAACTGTTTTGATCTATAGCAGCTTTCTACACCCAAAGAAAGGGGCCCAAATCTGCTGGTCCCAGCCTCTCCAGAGTGACGATTTACTGCATTTCTTTGTCTTATATGTTAGAATACTGAACATCTTCAGGTTTTAGGCTTTTGGTTGGACAAAAAAAGCAATGTGAATATTTGACCATGTGCTCTGGGGAATTGTGATTTCCATATTTGCTTTTGTTTTCAAATGTTTACAGTTAAAGCAAGTTGTCTGCTAATCACAAAAACAAACTGCAGATAAATCAACGCTGACTGCAGGCCTTAACCTCTGACATTTGATATTGTAATGTTGTGTTGGAGAAGCACTCAGCTTTGAAGGGATGTTATATGTCAAATGTACCTATCCACCAGCAGGTTGCTCTTTTCTTTGAACCAGCCATAAACACAAGGATTTGAATCCCCAGCACTCCCCACCTGGCTCCACCTTACACTAACATTTACTTTAGAATATAATCTTCAAACAGGCGCCAACTATTCTTCACTCCCCTGCTTTATGTTCCTCACCTTATTCCGTCTCTTTCATTTTTTTATTTTTTTCTCCCCCCTTTCCTAATTGTCTGAGACTCTTATCCCCACGTTGCCGCCTGTGCCTTCCCCCTCTGCTCCCTGTGTGGCTTTCTCCTGAGGTCAACCATTCTCTGGTGGTTATTGGCCTGGTTCCCATCCTCTACATTCCCCTGGCCTAGCCTTGGGTTGCTGTGGAGAGGCGCACTCATCCTGCTCTTTTATTTCTCTCTTCCTAACAAGCTACTACAGTAGGCAGACACATTGTCTTCTCAAAGGTCACTTTTCATCTATGTTCGTACAGATCTTAACACAGATCTTAAAGGAGAACAATCTTTACTATAACATCTTTCAAGTTTTTTCATCCCGAAACTATTTCAGTTATGATTAATTCTGTTTTTAAAACACTATGTTCTCTTGTGTTTTCTCTCCAATTAATACCACCCTTTGTCAAGTAGAAAGCTTAAGATTAAAACTAACTGTTTACTCTGAAGGTATTTGAGCGAACTGAGAGGACAGCTGTAAAGGCTAAGCTGTAGCTTTAGCAGGAATTCAGAGCAGCGCACGAGGCAAACTCATTTGACTAGATGCTCCCATAAAGCCTCAGGGCAGATCACCTCTACAACAGATAAACAGCCAGTTTGACCCAACCCGAATGTCAACCAAATGATGATTATTTATGCTTGCATTTTTGGGCTTCACTCACCTGAATGCCAGTTTGAAATGGGCATGTGTGTTTGTTCTTCCCTGAGTGCTCTGAAAAGAAAAGTGCAGAAGTGGAAAATCACAGTTGTGTTACTTAAGGTGTGTCCGCTCCCAGTGCACATGTTTCCTGTGCTGATTCAACATGGCAGCTAATGCACCCATCAGACACACTCAGACAGTGCTCGGAATGTAACTGCAGCTCTCAGTAAATGTGCTTATTTGTTAATGATAATGTAGGTGGCATGCTTGTACATTCTGCCTCACTGTCAGGACAATACTCAAAATGAGAGAGTATTAAGTCAGATTTGAATAATTATTTGGGATTCCAAAAAATAAGAACATCTCTATTGACTCATGGTACTTCAAAAAGCATCTCAAAGCTAACCATCTATGGACCAATGTACACTTGTAATGACATTAAAACGCCATTTACAGGCAGGAATAGCTTTAGAAGGATGAGTGCACACTAACATTGTTTCCATGGATTTTCTTGTCAGCAAGTGAAGGCTATTTTAAAAAACTGGACAGTTGCCGCAGCAAGGGACAAAATGCACCTATAGTACTGTACATTATATGTGCTATATGATAGAAGGAATTGAAAAACAACAAAACAAAAAATATGATCGAAGTTCTAGAGCTTTCACATGGCATTAGTGTAATGCATTATGCAGAGGGATTTAGTTCTCCTAATAAGTCTCCATTAGAGCACTTTGTACGCATCAACATCAGATCCAGTTTCTGTGTGAGTGTGAAAGAGTCAGAGAGACCACTTTGTATCTGAATGGATCTGATTTATGTGTGTGCTTCAGAGGGAGGGGATGCATGTTCTGCAAGAGTGTATGTGTGTTTAAGTTCTGTTGGAGCCCCTCAGAAAACACAGATATGTTGCATCAGCTCTCTGTTGACTCTGTGGGCTGGTGCTATCCAGTTTGGAGGACAGCTTACCAACATGCACACACATTTAAAATGTGATTATCTGTGCCATTGGGACTGGAGCTAATGATAGAGCTCAGCCTTGTTCTAATGGGCCGTCAATGCACCACAGTGGCTGTAGTGGTGAAGGCTTTAAATGGGTGTGCAAACATAGGACTAAAGTAAAGGCACGTACTTTGTTAGTACAAGTTTTAATATCTTCATCACTGAGGGGTTACACTTAAACATACTGGTTATTATTTGTGTTGATATCAGTGTGTATTTATTCCTGCAGGTAAACAGACTCAAGCGTGAAGATGGCAAAGATCTGTGCTTTGGTGTTAATGACACGTGAGTATAATTTAATCACAGTATTTTAAAGAAATCCTTCTTCATTACATGATGTCCTTTATACAGCAACATCCACTTCTTAAAAAGTCAGTAAGTCAATCCATTTCATAATCAGTGCATGGATCAGTTTTAGTCAATAAGAGAACCCGTGATTTGTTTTCCCCACTTCCTCTTTGCAGAGGAAATTCTGCCCGCAGGTCTGTCTTCCATCAGCACGCTACTCTAGTATTTAGACTTTTGAGACAATATGAGACAAAAGGCAGCTGAGTGCTGGAGGTATTCTTGTCACTGGTTGTCCGGGTTGACCCCCCCCCCCCCCCCCAACTCTGGATTTGAAACTGTCTAAACGTCTGATCTGATTATGTATCCTTTAGAAATATACTGTCAGAAAGTTAATCCCAAACTTAGTGAGGGCTGAAATAAAGAGTTCTGCATTAACAGTCCTGAAAAGGTGAGGGGGATAACATCAACAGATCCTTAAGGGGTTGGAAAAGAGAAAACATGGGATGGATAAGTGACGAGAGATTAAACAGGCAGGGTTTTATGTATCGTATTTAAACAGATCTGGATTTCCAATAAACGCAGCAGGATTTTAAAGGTGTTTCACTTATTGACACTGACAGATCAGATAATAAATGATTCCAGATAACATCCATGTGCCTGTCCTTCTTCACAATACCGAAATGTTTATATTAACATTAAGTGTGTGAAACCAACATGACTGAAACAATTCTGAGTATAATTACATTGTTAACGACACATTTTTATTTTAAAATATATCCACAGCAATGGGATTTAGTTTTTTTTGTCTTTTTCAAAAACCAAATGAGATGCTAAAGGTGTGCTTCACTTTATAAACGTTGTCTCTTTCTGAACTCTTACAGTTGTGTCACTGGGGTTCGCGGAAGAACAAAAAAGTAAGTAATAATCCCTCAACAGTTACTATTTGAGTAATACCAAAAATTGGTTCCATTTAAAAAAAGGGATGTCTATAGTTATTTGTAAAAGTAATAATATAAGAGGACAATAAGTCTTTTTATTTAGTTACATTTTTACATGTTTGGAACGGCACTTTTCGGTTGTAATGTATTGATTTGTCAAACTAAGCCACTGTGTTTGGTAATCTCTCTGTTTCTGTTTACTTTATCTGTAACTGTTTGGCTGTACTTGTGAAAGCTTGTTTTTCTGCTGCTCAAACTAACTGAACATATTCATTTCTGTTTCTGCAGTGGAAGAAGACCCATTTAACTTTGGTAAGTTATTATTTTCCTACGTATTATTTTCACTATCGTTTAGAACGTGTTGAGGGTTAAGGGTTTTTTCAAATGTTTACCATGTCTCCTCTGTGCAGACTACCACCAACTGCGAGTCGGAGGCCTGATTCTTGCTGCTGTCCTCTGTCTCATTGGCATCACCATCCTGTTCAGTAAGATCCAAATGATGCACACACCACATTTCACCCTTATAGTCATTAACCAACACAAACACTGCACAGATACACAGATCTAAAGAAAGTCCACTCTTCTTGTCTTTTGTTTCAGGTGGCCACTGCAGGTGCAAGTTCAACCAGGACAAGAGGTGATCCTTCAAAACATGAAATACTTGTTTAATTATTGTGGGAAATGGGGATATCAACCTTACTTTACAATCCCATAGGAATGTATTTCTTCAACAATTTATTTTTATAGACAAGCCTGTAGTTATAGTTGTGTCCACTAGAGGGCATTACAAAATCACCAATGAACATTTAGAATGACAAAAGGCAATAGGTAGCTCCTTGTATAGGGATGTTTTATTTGGACCAGTATATTCTGGAGATTACTACATCTTTGTTTGCTGTATTTCTTTTTGTTGACAAAAATCCAGAAACATTCCACAAATGTTTTATTTTATGATGGAAGTGGCTGGTTTCTGCCATTTCTGCCAGCAAGATTTAGAAAACTCGATTGTTCATCAAATGTGTAAAAAAAAACTTTGGTTGCACTTGTGGGTAGGCCTTCATCATGTCCGTTGACATCAACCAACACATATTTAAAATAAATACACATTTGAATAGGCATTTTAGCATTAGATTGATATACTATTGTTTACTCATCTGTTTATGTTAAATTCCATGAAATGTGTTCCTCTAGCCAGAGTGGAAACTCTCAACAAAGAACCATTTAAATGTATTATAATATTGTAAAAAACAGATCATATAACAAAGTTTCAAAGAGGATTGAAGTATCTTGTTCTCCGTCTCTTACGCTCTCCTTTTTTCTCTTTGCAGAGCGAGGACAGGAAGCAATGCTCAGCAGATGCTTTCCGACCAAGGTATTGTTTGTTCACCTGCCAGAAAAATATATATTAACCTACAAAGGAAATGTTATTTGTAGTTATAGTTGACTGTAAATGTCAACAAAGATGATCACCTGTGACCACAGACACTTGACAGAAGAACATGTTTTGATGTTACCTTCAGGTAAATGTATAAATACCTGTTTATAATAAAGAGATATAGATATAATAATAGTAATATTAAATATTAAGTTTCATGAAAATATTTAGTTTAAAATAAATAATACTCGAAATAAAGAAAAATAAGTGAACACAATTTAAAAAAAGAAATACTGCATTTAAGGTAGGCAATTATATGCCGCATAATAAACAGGTTCTTCTCCCCCTAAGACTTCATTACCCAGTTGTCCTGTTAATTTTCTAAGGTTATATTTACTCTGTCCATCTGTTTCTCACACGCAGACTGACACAGTATGGAAGTCTCCCATGGTGATGGCCTCAGATGACATGTAGCTCGCTGTCTAACAGGTGGTGCTACTCTGGGAGTCTAGCATTCAGAAAGGGAGTGGGGGAAGTAGCGAGAGGACAGTGGATGGAGGCAGCATATCTTTTTTTTATGTAGTGGGGTAGCCATGGAAGATGCCCTCTTGAGATGCTAATTTACAGTTTGTACATTGCTAAGCTAAAGCCAGTTTAATGCTGATAATGTCAGTTTGACTTTAACAGCTGTGATGTATATGATATGCACAGGTGGCCCATATGGAAAAACACTGTGTTTGAGTGAGGGTGTGTGTTTGTCTATGCAAGTGGAAATTGCCATGGCAGTATGTCCCTGGAGGCCTTTGCTGACACAAAACACACACACACAAATACACACACACAAATTGACTTCTCATCCATTATTATGTATATAATTTAAGCAGAGGAAGAATTGTAGTACTTGGGATCTGAGAAACTAGCTGAGCAATCGTTATTGTTAACAGTACAGAGTTGGTGAAACACAACATTTTAACATGAAACTGCTTTGATTGAGTGTTTTGTGGGTCTGTTCTCTTTGAAGAGGAAACCTCCGAGTAATTCTGCTTCGAGGTACAAGCCTTCTGAACGCCTGGATCTTACAGCTCTGGAAAAAATATATAGACCACTCCAAATATTTCTTGGCAGCAAATATGTATGGCCGCCATTCCATTCCAGTGTCTGTTGACTTCCAACATGGAGAAATGTAAATTTTACTCAAACACATAAATAATAAAACCAGAGATACTAATATTTTTGCACTGGTCTCTTAATTTTTTCCAGATCTGTATATTATCAGAAAAACAAACTGAGAAAATGCAAGTGGCCCAACGGAACATCTGTTGTCTGCCAAGAGAAAACTAAACGTAATGATATTCCTGAAATTGAAATTAGGCTTAAATAGTCATTGAACCACAGTGTGATTCACATCGTCAGAAGTCTGTGTAACCGAGTCTTTGGGGTTACTGATCACATTTTCAAGCATTAAAGTAATCATCTGAATTTGGAAACCTAACCTTCTGTCTGTCTGCAGGTCGTTCCTGCGAATGCTAGATGTCGGCCAGAACACCGCCGACTTCCCGAACCTGCAACCATCAGATAACACGGAGGAGGAGCAGCGGGATTTGACACATCCAACGAGAGGCTTTTGTTTTACTGTTAGAGAGCAACAGAGAGTAGTCTGTGTACGGCTGTGAGGTGTGATGCTTTCTGCCTTGTAACTGAGCTACTGATCTGCAGCCTGCATCTTCACACACACACACACACACACACACACACACACACACACACACTGTGTCACTTTAATTTCAATTTACAGAACACGTGATTTAGAAATTAAAAAGGCTATGACACAAATAAACTGTCATATGAATCTGTTTGATTAAGCTGAAAGTGACCTCATACAACAGTTAACAGAAACTATTTACCAAAAAATTCCTTAAGTGTCCACATGCTGAAGTTCTCTTCTGCCGTCTGCTCTGTGTGTAAGGTCAAACATTGATGTAGATATTAGTCGCTTATTGTGCCAAACCTAACGTTCTGTCAATGCTTTCATGTCACATATATGAAATCCACCTATCATGAGTGTTTAAAATGTTGTTGATTAATCATAATTAGAAGTGAATTCCCATGTTTAGCTTTATGGAGGAAAGTAGTGGATTGTACTGTTCAGAAATACAGAAAAACTCATGTTTCTATAAAAGAACCTTGAAACAAATAAATATGAACTATGGAGTTTTTTTTTGTTTGTGTGTCCAAGATCCAATGAAATCATGATTTGATTTTTAAGGCCTGAGAATATGAGATGTGAAAGAAAGCAGTCAAAATACATAATTGATCATTTTTTGTTTATAAAAGATTTGATTTTTTTAGTTATATTATTATTACGAGTATTGCCTTTTTATTTAATTTTTTAAACCTCCTGAGTATGCCATCCTTGCATTTCACTGCACATACTAAAAAGATGAGCATGTGACAAATAAAATCTAATCTCCTTTTTTTTATGTTATTGCATTTTAACTGTTGTGTTATTCATGTTAATTTAAAAAGAGCCGTAAGCACATCAGATATCAGTGATACATTTGACCATAGTAAGCTTTTACTTAAACCCGAAGAAATTTCCTTTTTCAGCAGTCATGTTCTACTAAAATATTTAAAATGTAAACAACATTTCAATTGAATTTCATTGGAAAAAAACTCAAAATAAATCACAGAATTTGAATTTGACCGGAAAGGGAGGGACTTCGCCTCTGTCTCGAGTGTAAATAAAGGTTAAATTAATACTGTCTCTCCAATATGGTCTAGCTGCGGCCGCGGCAAGTACACGACACTACACGACACGCCCCCTACACGACACGCCCACCTGACACGACACTACGGTGGCTGAGAGACATTAGTGATCTCCAGTGTGCTGGGCAGTGTGGCGGCGGAGGGAGCCGAGGGCACCACCGGAGGAGAGGCGAGCGATGACAGCAGCATCACCGTGGTGCAGCTCCCCGCACAGACTGAGGGGACTTGTTACACGGAGCCCATCACCGGGGAAGCCTGCGGCGGGAGAAGGCGGTCTGCTCGGCCTGCCCTTGGCTCTGGGGTCCCTCCTTAAAAAAAGTCTCATCATACTTAATCCTAGACAGTAGCACATGGTATATATTGTACGACTTTGTCATTTTTGTAATGTTGATATGTATTCGCTCATAGCCTACTGTGCCTTTCACGCAGACAATACAAGTGAATTTTGAAATGACAAATAGGTTTATGTTTCAAGTTTATTTGCATTAAAAACGTGTTTTTAAACCCTTCTGTTCAAATTTGATATTTTGTTTCTTAAAAGATTAAATCTTTAAAAACATGCTGTTTGCCATTTTTAAAGTTTGATGGAAGAAATTAAAATATCGGTCACTGACGTGGAGCTTTAGGCCTGCAATGCTTTCAAAAAAAATGTTGGTGTTGTTTCAGTTTTGAGTGAATATGGATGTTAAATTCACAAATGAGTATGAATAATCTTAAACAAGAACAGGATCTTGAGCCATGATGTTTTTAAAGTACAGAAACATTCAGAATGCATGACGATTCCTTCAAAGGTTTTGTAATAGACCCCTAGTACTTTTAATTTATAAAGTAATAATAACACATGTGAATGATTGAGCTCATTAGTGGCCTGACTGGCCCTCCTAATTTGGTCCTTAATGACCCCATGATGTGATTATGTATATCTTAAAACCTTTAACAACTATATTTAGATGTTCACACATATCTACATTTATGTATAAATACATGTGTAGCAGTTAGACAAACATAATTAATAGATTATCTCATTAATACCTATTTTATATATTAAAAAAAGTTTACTAAAACACCGTTTGTTGACAAAATGATTTGGGTTGAAAGTTATACTGTTGTGTCTCAAACGGATAGACTAGGTTATTAATTTATTTGCCTAATAGTTGCTTAAAATGCTACAATAACATTTGCAATTCATTTTTAATCTGCCATGTACGGTAATGTCTCTCAGCCACCGTAGTGTCGTGTCAGGTGGGCGTGTCGTGTAGGGGGCGTGTCGTGTAGTGCCTTGTACTTGCCGCGGCCGCAGCTGGACCCTTCTCCTGTCACTACCATGGATGTATAATAAGAACTGGATACAGCGTGGGAGGCGGGGCCTCATTCATTCCTATGAGAGTTGCTCATTCGCGCATGATGATAAAATGGCCCAACTTTTGAGAGAGCGAAACGTCACAGATTACCCGGCATGCCTGAGAAGTACCCGTATGTGCGCTCATAGCGCATGCGCAACTTTAACCATGCCCCCCAAAATGCTCGTTCACATCAAGCACGTCAATTTGCGTACACGTAACAGCACCGCACGTTCATGACAGCATGGTAATGTTTGTTATGATAGATTTGATATTAACGAGGCTGCAGTTAGCAGCTAGCGGGTAGCTAGTAATTATGCTAATTTACACATCAATCGTTATGTACTTTTATATTACGCTGTAACAGGATCTAGTGATATCCAAGCAACAGAGCTTCATTTAGCATGAAATAATTATTGCACTGTATATATATATATATATATATATATATATATATATATATACACACATACACACACAGTGCAATAAGCTTCTTAGTGCAATAAGAAGCTACAGGGACGTTAATCTACGTCGGTAATATTAACTTTATTTAATACAACATTTACGGTACAAGATTTAATCATACAGCCCATGTAGTATAATATTTTACAAATGATGAATTACAGCAAACATGTGCAATATATCCATTATTACAGCTCCGTGGGCTGGCAGTAAGGCGATATGGGTCCGTTCTTATTGTGCATCCATGGGTAAAGATAAACTCATGTAGTGCTGAACACGTAACATGAACGTGCCGGGCGGCGCGGTCCCGTGGGTTAGATGCGCGTTCATAATGCAGAGGGAAATAACTCTCAGAATAACGTTATTAGCACATTTTACAACTTGAGGAACGAATGTTTTTAATAAGGGCTATACAAGTGTTCATACTGGGTAGTTTATTTAGTTTAAAAAAAATTATCCAACGATTTACAGACCACTCTTTCCCCATGTAAGTCAATGGGAAAAAGTGTTTCCGGGCCTGGCAACCAAAAGGAAGTGTAGTACCGCCGTTTGGCCAGCACGAATATTTTCATCAGAGTCCGGCGCACTTCCTGGGGGCTTGGTCACTACCCGATCCGTTCACCTGCCCGATCGGTACTGCGCATGTGCGAGATGGTCCGCCATATTGGACAACTCCGTACGGCAACCCAACTAGGACACTTGACACAGTGGCTTTTGGCAAAGCACACAAAAAAAACTCAAAAAACCGAGAGAGATGAGTTATTGTTATTACAACGTGACTTCACTATTATTTAACAACTATTTCTATTGGGTTCTTTTATTTGGGGTTAAGTACATTGTCAGAATAAGTGAGAAATGGATTTAACTTCTGTTAGACAGCTATCATACTGAATAAATATTTATGCAAAAACGTATGGCATTAATAATGTATATCTAATTACATTAAAAAATGTATGGCATTAATAATGTATATCTAATTACATTAACTGTGAATGTCTTTCATTTTATTTAAAATGAACAATTACATACAACATTTTCCATAAAAAAGTTGATTCAAGAACAAATCTCTGTTATTAGATCAGTACTTTTCTTATATGACTATTATTGCTAAATTTGAAAGGTCTTTACCAGCTTTGGAATTATATATAAAACAAAGATAAACTAGTTCTTGCTACCTTGGTCTAGTTAAATACTATACTGGACTCGTGAAAAATACTGGAAGACAAGATTTACTTTGAGGAAGGATTGCTCTACTTATTATCGTGTTTACAATAGTTGAGATTGTGCATTGTGATACACCACAAAGGGAAGGGGGTTGTGTCTGTGTTTAGGGTTCCTGCAGTTTTTGAACGGAAAGCACACAAGTTCAGAGGAATAAGCTGTTCCCGTGCTGCTACCATGGACTGGCTGTTACCCACAACCTGCAATATAATTAATCAAGCAAAATTAAAGGATAACAAACTCCAGTTAAATTATTCCATATTAATAAATAATATTACATGCAAATTACATTTCCTGTAGGATGCTGAACCCACCTCTCCCCTCTTCCCCCATTGGACCTGGATCTTAACAACCCCCCCCCACACACACACACACACACACACACACACACACACACATAATATATTTATTGTTGTGCCTTTTTATTTGCTCGTATTATGATGGGATATGGTTTAATTTAGTAAATGGTTGTGCGTTGTGTGTGAAAAATGTATATCTCTAAAAAGTGTGTTGGTGTATGATCATATTTGTATATGAAAATGTCTGAAGTTAATAAATACATTCTCAGTGTTCAAGTCAATCACTGACGATGCTTACGATATCATAAAATCTAAGTGTTAATGATTGTCAGTAGAGATGGGATGGCAGAAGGTGCTATATATATATATATAATTCCAAAGCTGGTAAAGACCTTTCAAATTTAGCAATAATAGTCATATAAGAAAAGTACTGATCTAATAACAGAGATTTGTTCTTGAATCAACTTTTTTATGGAAAATGTTGTATGTAATTGTTCATTTTAAATAAAATGAAAGACATTCACAGTTAATGTAATTAGATATACATTATTAATGCCATACATTTTTAAATGTAATTAGATATACATTATTAATGCCATACGTTTTTGCATAAATATTTATTCAGTATGATAGCTGTCTAACAGAAGTTAAATCCATTTCTCACTTATTCTGACAATGTACTTAACCCCAAATAAAAGAACCCAATAGAAATAGTTGTTAAATAATAGTGAAGTCACGTTGTAATAACAATAACTCATCTCTCTCGGTTTTTTGAGTTTTTTTTGTGTGCTTTGCCAAAAGCCACTGTATCAAGTGTCGGTTAGTGCTAGATCGTATACCTCCTGGGTTTTAGGCGGAAGTGACGTAATCTGCCACCGAGGACAAGAGACGACGCTGGCTGCTGCCGTCTTCACACAAATAAACCCCTTAAAACCTGTATGATTTCGTTTTCACATGTTTATTGAAATGAATTCGTCCATCTCTTTATATTATAGTATTAAATGTATTATTTTCGGTTGTGTATTTGTGTTTTGAAGTTTTTTTTTGGATGTTGCGATTTAATTTCTCCAAGAGAGACAAAAAATCACTAAAAGATCTGGTGGATATCTGACCAGTATTTCATCATGGAAGTTAAATCACAATCATTTCATTATCCTGTGGAGGATAATGTTGTTTTGTGACAGTTGCTCAATTTTAGAACAAACAAAATAACATACTTAATAAATAGCTAAATGTATATATATATATATATATACACAAGAAGTAAAAGTGTGAATTTCAAGATAATAAAAATATAATAAAAAGATTAATGTAATTATAGGAAATAAAATCAAAAATTGGCAATGCAAAATAAAATAACCATATGTATATAAACATATAAAACAAACAAGAAATGAAAGCAGAAATGTTAAATATGATTTTAAATAACAATATTTATGTTGAAATAAGAAGTGAAAGTAAAAGAGGGCAATACAACAAAGATATAATAAAATACAATTAAAAGATGTACATTAACATAGGAAGTAAGAATACAAATGTGCAATACAAGATAAATACTTAATAAATAGCTAAATGTATATATATACACAAGTAAAAGTGTGAATTTAAAGATAAGAAAAATATAATAAAAAGATTAATGTAACTATAGGAAGTAAAATCAAAGATTGGCAATGCAAAATAAAATAACCATATGTATATAAACATATAAAACAAACAAGAAATGAAAGCAGAAATGTTAAATATGATTTTAAATAACAATATTTATGTTGAAATAAGAAGTGAAAGTAAAAGAGGGCAATACAACAAAGATATAATAAAATACAATTTAAAGATGTACATTAACATAGGAAGTAAGAATACAAATGTGCAATACAAGATAAATAAAAAGACTAACCTTACAGAGAGACAAAAAATCACTAAAAGATCTGGTGGATATCTGACCAGTATTTCATCATGGAAGTTAAATCACAATCATTTCATTATCCTGTGGAGGATAATGTTGTTTTGTGACAGTTGCTCAATTTTAGAACAAACAAAATAACATACTTAATAAATAGCTAAATGTATATATATATATATATATATACACAAGAAGTAAAAGTGTGAATTTCAAGATAATAAAAATATAATAAAAAGATTAATGTAATTATAGGAAATAAAATCAAAAATTGGCAATGCAAAATAAAATAACCATATGTATATAAACATATAAAACAAACAAGAAATGAAAGCAGAAATGTTAAATATGATTTTAAATAACAATATTTATGTTGAAATAAGAAGTGAAAGTAAAAGAGGGCAATACAACAAAGATATAATAAAATACAATTAAAAGATGTACATTAACATAGGAAGTAAGAATACAAATGTGCAATACAAGATAAATACTTAATAAATAGCTAAATGTATATATATATACACAAGTAAAAGTGTGAATTTAAAGATAAGAAAAATATAATAAAAAGATTAATGTAACTATAGGAAGTAAAATCAAAAATTGGCAATGCAAAATAAAATAACCATATGTATATAAACATATAAAACAAACAAGAAATGAAAGCAGAAATGTTAAATATGATTTTAAATAACAATATTTATGTTGAAATAAGAAGTGAAAGTAAAAGAGGGCAATACAACAAAGATATAATAAAATACAATTTAAAGATGTACATTAACATAGGAAGTAAGAATACAAATGTGCAATACAAGATAAATAAAAAGACTAACCTTACAGAGTTAAAGTAAAAATGTTGCAATACAAGTTGTAATTAAATAGAATAAAAATATGTATGGATAATTTAATAGGGATTATTTTTTTGTTGAGACATCAGGACCCTTCTCTACTCCCTCCACATTCATGCTGACCCGGAAGTTCAACCTCATAGCTTCCGCAAAGCAGCCTACCCTTTTTGTGAATGGGTGCTTTTGTGGTACGGTTTTCACAGGTAGGTTGGCCATCTCCTTCTTCCTTTTCTTAGGTGTGAACGTCAGAGGAAGGCTCTGATCATGTGGAGTGTGTAGCTTCACATCTTCCAAGATCTCGGTCATTTGGTCAGTTAACGTTTTAAGGTAATCTTCATCTTGCAGATGGTATGTTAAGTCAGTAATCTCACGCAAGAGACTGGCACATTCCCTTCTTTGTTTAACCTTTCTTGGTCTTTTCCTTTCGGGCAAAGCGTTACATGGTGACTGCATTTCCACTGATACCGGTGTGTATGTATGATCTGTGATGTCTGATCTGCCGCTGTCATCCCTCTCACAAGAAGTCTGTCCCAGACATGCATTATCCAGGGAGAAGAGGGGGTTATCCCTGTAATTAGATGCCAGTTTCTCCCAACCCCATTCATGCACATGATTAAAAACAGCACAGAAGTGCTTGCAGGGCAACTTGTGCTTTGCCCAGTCTTTGCAGGTGCACGATGGCATGATGATACTTTCACCAAAGTTGATGTGGTGCTGTGTGCAAGGATGACTTTGGCTTTTGACATGGAACATGCCATTGCCCTTTGCAACAATGTCATTCGCCTCATAAAACTGGGCTTCTGTAAGCCTTGACATCACATGGTCTGCTACACTTCTTGGTCTGTCTTTTAAGAACTTTGGCATGTTCTCATTGTACCTTCTGTAGAATGAGGAGTACTTGACATTGAGTTCAATGTACCTTCAATAAGAGATGAGAACAATATCTTAGAAGTCTCTCTGTGACAGTTTGCTTTCTCTGACATATAGATATGGTATTTGATAATACAATTGTCTCAGAAACGTATGCAACAATGAACAACATCAAACAAATATGTTGGAAACAAAGCTATCGAACATTACATTTATATATATATATAAAAATGTGTGTGTGTTTGTGTATGTATGTATGTATGTATATATAAATATATATATGTATAATCATAGTAATTCTTTTTTAGCTCACTTCCGATATGTCCTTGGTAGGAAGTCAGTTACCAACACAGTGAGCATTTCACTGAGGCTGCAGTTCTTATAACCTTCAAGATGAGAATGCTTTAGGGTTTCATTTTGTCTTTCCACCCCATTGTTGGTGTAGATGGCCACCTTGAGATCTTCATCCCGAAACACGTGCACCCATCTCTACACAAGACAAAAAAGACAAAAAAATTAAAAGGAAGACTCTTCAAATTCAACAAATGATATAATAAATATAATATAAAAGTAAATATAATATTTGAACTTGATACACACCTTAGCCTCTGGGAGCCACTTATTTGAAAACCACGCCCTCACTTTTTCATTGTCCTTCCAGACTTTGGCCTCCTGCAGGTTGCAAAGGCGTGTGCTGAACTCCTCTGGAGTTGAAGCAGCTGCAATGCTTCTCAGAAGCGGTAGGAGACTGTCTTGTGCGTGGCTCACTCCATGATCTTTCTTCCTGCACCATTCAACCCAAGCTTTCTCCCTATGGAAGTCGCAGAGAAGCACCTTGGAACCTGGATAAAATATAAGAGATATATTACCTGCACCATGTTGTCATTTTATTTTGTCGCGTTGCTATTACATAGTATACGCGACAAAATATAGGCCTGCTTTTTATACATCTGTCTGTCAGTGGAGGTGATGACTTTATTTTGAAGTAGATTGTTGCATACATTTGCATGTAAATGGTTATATTTTGGAAGTTGGTGGAATACTATGTAAAATGTATCCTTTTTTTTAATTAACGTTTCATATTATGTGAATTAACAGATTTCTACAGTTACTGCAATTTCACCTTGAAACTCTTCCTCCAGGGCACCGATCTCTACCTCTGAGAAATCAACCATGAAGTGGCTAGGGCTCCAGTCAGGGTTCCACTCCTTAAACACCTGGAGGGCTTCTTTGACATCTGCTGTTGTCTCACTCTGGGTCACAAAGAGGCCAACCACTGCATAGCACACATTTGTACGTACACATAGGAAGAAGAGGGGAACAGAATAACGACACGTCCGGTAAGTAGCATCAAGCAGGCACATCTGTTGTCCATACAGGTGGAGAAGCCTTCGCTGCCAGGCTGTCTGGTAACAAAACAGCAGCTTTGTGACAGTTCCGTCCTCCTGTAGCTGGCTTGGCCTGTACTTGATTTTGCAGTCATCAACTAACCATCTGGGCGTCAGAAGCTGTGAATGAAAGTGTAACTGGACATTATCATCATGTAGCCTCATGGCCCAAACATTAGGAACATTTGTTGTCATATCAGGGCAAAAAACAGTTTTGAAGTTTTAGTTGCATTTTGAAAAATGGTCATACCCTGCATATGAACCAAATACTGCTACTTTGCTTTGCTTACTTACACCTGCATTCAGAGGACAATGTATCATGTAAAAAAAAAAAAAACTGACCATGCTTGGTGAAGTCACAAACTCTGTAAGTTGTGCATTAACCACCCACACAAACTTGCATGGCTTGAATAATATTAATACTATTCTACTCTCAGTGTATTACCTGCAGATTGACCTGGTCATTTTTGGATTCACGTATTCCCTCCTTCGTTCTTGATAAGATATTCCTGATATCCTTGTCTGTGGGGTAAAACCTCCGACGTGTTTGTGGAGGTGGCTGCTCCCCCCGGAATAGCTCGTCATTTACAAAATTGAACAGTTGACGTCTAATCTCACTAAGCTTTCTGGCACCAGCCAAGGTGAGCTTCACTATTTGTTGTTCAACTCTGGAATCCATCGGTTCACGCAGTTCAGCTACCTGTACATGACGTTGAACAGGGTAATTATAGATGTTTAAAGCTGTCTAAAGAAAGTCCTCTTTGTACAGCACAAATTGTACCTCGCATCATGTTTCTTACAGCAGCTAAAGGAGTAGATTTTGCATGGTTACCTCTCCAACAGTTGGATGGTTTTGATGGTCACTTTCTGGGGTGAAGCATGTGTGGTATTCCATGACTACTTCAACTGTTGAAGGATCAGCTGCAACTACAGCCTTTAGTGCTGCTGAGAGCTCCCTCCTCTTTGCTTTACTGTTCTCTGCAATCTGGGGAATATAAAAATGACATGGCAATTGGGATCATGACACGAGAGCAATTATAGCATTGAACGCACTTGTGCTGTGCTTGTGCTGTACCTTGAAACCAGGACATTTCATGACCTGACTGACAGTTATCTGGGCAGGGCAATCCATCTTCTTCGTATTTTGTACGAGATGGCGTCTTGCATTGAAGACATGGTCTTCAAGCTAAGAGAAAAAAGGTGTATAGAAATACAATATTAATATATGTATACATTTTCATGGTCTCCTCTCCATAACGTGGAGAACATAATTTTTGCTATGGTTCTTTCTTTTGTCTTCTTTAAAATATTTGTAGGTCCTGCTAATATAACTATAGTGGGACATTATGTCATTACCCCTGCATCTGTACTGTTTGTGTCTATTTATTTTGCACATATACCATCCCCTGTTAAAATAAGTAACCAGTATAGGAAGAATTTGGTGCCAGGTCATGACCGTGAGCTGGTTGGGTTCTGTAGGTGAACAAAGGAAGGATATCCCCCTTTATTTTGTCTCAGAAGAGGCCATTGAATTTCGTTTCCTATTCCTCTAAAGTTTAAACGACTTATGTATTTACATAATGCTGATTCCTATGTTGTTATGTGTCACAGTGTTATGTGTCATAGAATGCCACATAATGCATGTCATATTACGAATAGTTGTTTAATTTTCCTTTACCAATTATTTTAAGTTGTTAATGCATGTAAATTCATAAATATACCGCTTGTTTCTCTTTTTGTGCATGGTACTTCTCCTTTTGCCGAGTACACCTGTCCTTTCCCTGGTGGCATCCATATATCTTGGTGCCCACGAGTTGGAATGGCACCCCATCATATGGTACACATTTCAACTGCCAGTATATCTTTTTCCCTGGTGAAGGTTGCACGTCTGTATTGAAACATTTGTGACAAAAATACATATTTCATATGGTACACATTTCAACTGCCAGTATATCTTTTCCCCTGGTGAAGGCTGCACGTCTGTATTGAAACATTTGTGACAAAAATACACATTTTATCCATAAAAGATGTATTAACACTGGTCAGTTTAGATTTGGAAAGACACTCGGAATTTGAAATGTCTTAAGTAACTTTACGCCTGATAATTCAACCTGTTGCTGAATGTACAGTAAAGTTTCACGTATTTTTCGCTTTTATCAGTTATGTAGAAAGCTGAAACTACCAACCTATAATTCAGTTGTTGTAGGCATTAAAACACAGAACACCAAAATAAACATTTTAGTGGTGTGAACGCTCGTGAACTGTCAAGAGGAGGGCGGGGGAGCCTCGCTGCGGGGAAACTGTGGACCTCTGTCAGCGCAACTTAAATGATGCCGTTTAAAAGATGAATAAATTCACGGCTCGAACCGAGCCGTTCTGTGCCCCGTCTTATATATGTAATACTTATACTTATATACTTATACTTATATATTATTATACTTATATACTTAGGCCTATATAAGGCCTACTTAATATTTGATTACTGACACAATGTAGGCTACTTGGTCATCGTTGTTTCTTCAATTTCCGATCTAACTTTACAAACTTACTATTTTCCCCGAAAACCTGTTCCTTTTTGTACACAATATACTTTGTGATCGTTGTTTCTTCAACGTCTGCTAACGCTTCCTCGAAATCCTTAAGTGTTTGAAAGATTTTATGTGAAAGCATCCTGTTTGTTGCGCGTTGGCATCCTTGACAGACTTGTCTGTTGGAGGCTCGCGAGCGCAACAAAAGTTGCCGTCTCATCCACGACCACTATTACGTCACTTCCGCCGCATAAAACCCAGGAGGTATACGATCTAGCACTAACCGTCAAGTGTCCTAGTTGGGTTGCCGTACGGAGTTGTCCAATATGGCGGACCATCTCGCACATGCGCAGTACCGATCGGGCAGGTGAACGGATCGGGTACATGGATCGGGTAGTGACAAATACTTCGGGGCCATTTCTTTAGTCTTTGAAAGGCTCTGGCTCCCCCTAGTGGACGCTGTTATAGTCTATTTTCTGAACAAACACATTCCGTTAGCTTTTCAATCATCTACATTCTTTGTTTCTTCTTCATACATTCACAAAGACACACACTGTATATAGAAATGGAAGAGTGGCAGCATGTTATCCACTGCATGAAGTGTGTTGTATTTTTAAAGACCTGAGGAGGGTTTTTGTTTGTAGAGTTGAGTTTATGTTTGCCTGAAATGTGTCCCAACCTCGGCCCCATTGCCCCTCCCTCGTCATTGATTGGCTGCCTGTAATTAGGGACCAGGCAGCATCAAGTCAGCTATTGGAAGCCAGGATAGGACCGGAAACGAGACAAATTAAAAGATGAAATTCTAAAATATTTCAGAAGCTTCTTGAATGTTGAACCCCTTGCAGTTTTTTTGGACATTTCATGTAAGGATGAAGAAGAGCTTTTGTTTGTATTTATTTGTTAACAAGTGATTGTATATTTGTTTCAAATGCATCCTTGATAGTTGACCTCAAGGACTTTATGCTTGCAACAAATCTCATGACACTGTGTCAGGGTAGAGCGAAGCAGGCAGGACCCAAATGCAGGTTTTACAGGAAAAATACCTTTATTTCAAGGCTAAGTAATCATACAGAGCTCTCCCCCATGAACACAGTCAACAACATGATGTCCCTGTATGGAACGTTTTTAGGAGAAGTCCGGATATGCACATACATGGTCTGAGAACACGATGTATACTGACAGCTGAAATTGTCCAGAGCTCTGTCATCCACAATTAAATCTACATGTAGTGTAGGGGCTTTTAAATGTAAGAGTGTTTTTGGCCACTTCCTATATTTTTCTCACAAGGCTAAATACATGTAGCCTCGAAAATATGTTTTATGTTTATTCATCTCTTTTAATAAACAAAACAACTCTGATCTAGTAATCTAAAATCAATTATCTGTCAATCCATTTGTTATATTGTATTCGAATTCTTCTGCCATGCTCAATTCCTAAGGGTTGACTCATTTGACTTTATCTCAAATTACGACGTGGATGTATATGCCTACTTCACTATTAATAAATCAAATCAGAAGACAGCATATTCGAGGGGGCTTTTATTTTGGAAGTCAATTCCCAGATTCCTCTACCATTCTGCGTGACTTGACAGTAAAGTCAAAAGTTGTATCAAATCCCCCCACCATTGGACGATTTATTTTGTAGCAGCAGGGGGTGGAGTAAACAAAGCTAGACAGCAGTGAACACTTTCCATTAAACACTTCAATAAAAAAGTCCGTCGGTAAAGGGAACCTTTCTGTACTGAGAGCCCGAGCTGTTCTGTTATGGACCCCAGCAAATGTGCCAGTGCACCTCCAGCGGGATGGTCTGGTGAGAAGTCCTCCATGGGCCATGCGCCCCCTCCGCCCTACCAGGAACAGCCGTATCCGGGGTACCCGCAGCCCGGCCCTGGATACCCTCCACATCCGCAGGTATGCAGTCCAACACCGGGCCTTAACTATTTTTTTCTGTTTTATTGTGTTGCACTGTTGGAGGAGCCTGTGACCTAAGATTTTAATCGTCATAACTACACTGTAGCTATGTTCGTTTGATCAATAAAAGCCTTGAACCTTGAACATAAAGTCTCTGTAATCAGCAGGAAATACTGATGGTAAACAGTATAAGACACCCTTAAATATTTTCTATCATGTCAAAGTTCTGTTATTTTTCATTGTTAAATCTGTAAGTATTTCACCATTGTATGTCTGTGGTCCAGTTCCAATAGTTTCATTTTATGTGAAGCCTCCACATCACCTGTAAATGACTCGACCCCTCCCAAACTTGTTTTCATGCTACTGAAAGTGAGTCTGAAGTGTATTTCCTGTGTGTGGACTGCAGGGCTACGGCTACCCTCCGCAGTATGGGGGTGCAGTTGGACAGCAGCCGTACCCCATGGGTCAGCAGGCCACCGTCACTGTCCAGCCCACAGTGTATGTGGCCCAGGGCCCGCTGGCTCACCCTGTCAACGACTACTTGTGCTACTCCATCTTCACCATGCTGTGCTGCTGCCTGCCCCTGGGAGTCGCTGCCCTCATCTACTCCATCTCAGTGAGTTTGATCAACTTTTCTATTCTCATGGAAGGGAGCAAAATGTCCTCCAACTAAAATCCTAATAATCAATTGCTTTGACAAGAAAATGCTGTATGTGTGGCTATCCCAGGATTGGACATAATTACACCAGGCAGTGACGTAGCTCTGCTCTCATCTATGATAACAATCATGATACATTTGGGGGAGTGGCTTTTGAATTAAGGAAAGCCTGAAGCGAATGGCCGTCAGTTTTGCCAACTTGGCTACTTTCTTGCTAGATTTATCAACTTTTAAAGCTTGTGCTGCTAGCTTCTATAATTGGAGAAGAGGTAGTAACACTGGGCCGGGTTTTTTTTTATGGTTTCTAAATCTTCCCGCATTCTTGCTAGCTTCTCACAATGACTAACTTAAGTCATTTGTGAGAGTCGGGTCAGCTTTACAGTGCTGACTTGAGCTTTTGAGGCACTTATTATACTGCAGCACTATACTGTTGGTTTTGTGGTAATGATAGTGGCTTGATGAGATTGTTTTGAAAAGAGAAGCAACCTCTACTCATCCAAATAATAGTTTAATGTTGTGCTTTCTACCTTATCTGCCCCAGACCATGAAATGTGGAAAACAAATTCAAAATCTTGTGTTAACATTTATCTATTAAATATCATTATGTAAATTACAAATGTTATCTTTAGAAGGAACTCTGCTCTAAAGAAATCACTGGTCAGCTCAATATCCAACACCTGAAAATAGTTGATCGAGGACACCGCAAACTCATTTATATGGGGATGGGTGTGTTTAGCAGACTAAATGCCAAGTTTGGGAAAGTGAATGAGAGTTACTGGAAAGGGTGGTGCTCTGTAAGGAAGAGAACAGAGGGAGGGAGCGAGTGAGAGAACACAGATGTTGCCGACTACAGAACAGAGAAGATATTTTGTGGTCCTCAATTTTGTATTCGGTGAGAGAAGTTCCCTGGCCTGCGTTACATGTATATTTTGCACAATTGTATTTTTCACAACGTTCTTTGACATCCTCAGAGGTTTGTCTGGCAATCATCAAAGTATCAAGTTTCCTTGGTAATTGCAGTGTGTGGGAGTTGATTATGTAACAGTTACAATTCACGAAGTGTGTTGTGCAACTTAAGTCCAGCTTAAATAAGGCAGCCTTCACTAAACTTGGAATGTAGTTTTAATACATGAGAACTTTAGTAAAAAGTTAAACACCACAACACTTTGAGATTGATTCCCCAGTTTTAGGTCATCTTGTTTTTGTGTCGTCTGATGTATAAGTTAAGAGCTTGCTTTTGAGTGTGTCACATTGAAGTGGTTTGACATATGGAAAGCACACATGTCTTTTGGAAGAAAAGTTGTTTGATAGTTTCCATGTGGTCTGTGTTTAATCTTCCTCCAGAGAAGAAAAAAATACTCTTGTCTGACCTTCTCCGTATTTTTTTAAACAAATTAAAAGCCACATATCTAACAAGTAGGCTATTTGGCCCTGAAACATTGAAGTGCATTCACGTAGTTGACTTTTTGGCCTTTTTTATGTGCTGTGAAATGTCTTTTTTAAATGCAATACAATTCTCATGATGTTTTGCCGGTTTTCACACGTGATGATGGAATTTTAGATATAACAAGAGCTTAAGTATGCAAATTACACAGAGCAAAAAACACATTTTTACCAATAATTTAATGTCATATTTTTGTCAAAGTATGTTTATATTCTTCTTCTTGGTATTGACGTTGGTAATGGACGTCTCTTCTTTCATGCATTACATGAAAACAACTTTAATTACCTCAACGTTGCTGAAGCCTTTTAATCTTTAATCGCTTGGAAAAGAAGTGGCAAGATCAAGCATGATCCTGAAACGGTTAAAGAAACAGAACTCGAGTTTTGTTAATCATTCAGCCTAAGCTCACAAACCTCATGGAAACCCCCAGTATGACTTTGTGTTGCTGTGTTCCTTGTAACTCTGCCTCCAGTTTCTCAACCTGCTCTCTAATCCTGCAGAGTTTATGCTTTTACATTTAGCAGTGACAGAATATTACAAAAAATATTTGTTAAACATACAGTAGTCATGGCCGAAATCTAATATACTTTGTTTTCAAGACAAGAATTTTGGTATAGTTTATTTTTACAACTAACACTTTCACGACCTAGGCAGACACGTTTCTTCCTCTCATTACTTCTCATACTTCAGATCCTAAAATGTATGAAATGATAAATTCCTTTGCAAAGGGTCCACCAGAACAACAGGTAATGACAGCAGTTCCTTGTTCTTAACAATATCTCGTAGTCAGATATTGTAATTGGAGACTGTGGTGGAAACTTACTAAGACAAACTAGTAAATAATAATAATGGTGAGGAAACTTTCCGTTATACTGAAATGAAGATTCTTGGAATAAGACAGTCTTTTAGGGACTTTATTCTTGCAAGAAGGTAAATCGTTACAGAGTGGCAAGCAGTCTGCAACGAATTACAAAAGTCACAAGGTCTGCAGAGGGTCTTATATCCACATTTTCATACCAAGAATAGAAGAGGGGCTGTGACAAACAAAAGATAAACATACTATATATAGGATTCTTTAAAACGATAGGTATGACTGTAACTACGGTTCTATGAATCCCGGATGACCGCCAGAGGCGGTGCTTTAAGCACTGGATATGTCCATCGTGCGCATGCGCAGGTCGAGTACCAATACCAACAAAGTCACCTGTGACCCCACGTGACACCGGGCTATATCTGCCGGTGTTGTCAGAGGATCTGTTTGCAGAATCTTCTCGCAAGAACACGAGGGTTCTGAGTGACAGGATACTCTGGCGGTCATCCGGGATTCATAGAACCATAGTTACAAACGGGTTGTATCTGTAACTGTTTGCGTGCCTGCTTCATAAAGCCAAACCACGCGGAAAACCCTCACAGCTCACACCGACAACAATAACAATGGCCGATTGTGTTGAAGCGCTACTCGTTTTGGTTTTGCTCTGTCGAAACGAAATGGAAGAAATGGGACTGTAAAAACCAGTGGTTGCCATCTCTTTCTGCAATTGTTGGAGAATTGCTTTGGACCGCGTGCTCCCCTCCAGCTTCCTCTGTACCTCTTCGGAAGACCAGATTCCCAGTAGGTAGCTGGTCTCTTCAGTGGACCACTGCTGCTTGTTAAGTTTCTCCATCGTTGTGTACAAACTGGATAAAACGCGGGCTTTTTGTTGTTGTTCAGGAGTTGATCCCGCCCCTGCCCCCGCCTCGACGTAAGCGTGACGTATGCGGTGCTTTTGCTCTAGCCGGACAACTTTTTGGTGCTTGAAACTAACCGGATTCCGGAGCTAAGAGGCTGCTCCGCTGCGGTGTGAACAGGAAAACCCGGTGCTTTTCAAGCTCCAGCTCCGAACCGGCCCTGAAACACCGTTGGTGTGAATGAGGTATCTGTGACTTGCGGTGTCCCCCAAGGATCAATCCTCGGGCCCCACCCTTTTCACTAGGGCTGTGCAATTAATCGTATTTTAATCGCAATTACGATTTTGGCCTGCCACAATTACGAAAACAACATAATCGAATAAAACAATTATTTTGCTTTGCTAGGTTGTGCAACATATTTGATCTAATTTATTTTGGTCTAATTTATTTGTATTTATCATATTTATATATGATAAGTAGCTTTTGGAAGTGAGCTCCAAAATATTTGTTGATCTTGTTTATTGGTATTTATTATTTTGATATTATTTATTTAAAGTTTTTCAGTTGAATTATACGTTCAGGGTAATCAACAGTTATAAGATACTGTTCAAATTATTATTTGTATTTGTTTTAAAGTTCAATAAATGGATGTTTTCAAAGTCAATGAATAATCGTATTTAATAATCGTGATATCAATTATTGACCAAAATAATCGTGATTATGATTTTTGCCATAATCGCACAGCCCTACTTTTCACCATATACATGTCCCCCCTTGGTCGTGTCATCAGCCGGCATGGAATATCTTTCCATTGCTATGCTGATGACACACAGCTCTACATCAGAGCAAACCCAACCCCCTCTGCACCTCTGCCATCATCTACAATAACCACATGCCTGGAGGAGATAAAGGTGTGGATGAAGCACAACTTCCTCCAGCTAAACAGCTCCAAGACTGAAGCCATTCTTATTGGCACTCCACATCAGGTTCGTTCATCCGCCATCACCAGCATCACCTTCTCCGGTCAGAACATTCCACTCTCATCAACGGTTACCAATCTGGGAGTTAAAATGGATCCTCACCTGAACTTTGAGGCCCACATCAAGCAAATATGCAAGACCTCTTTCTACCACCTGAGAAATATTGCGAAACTCTGCCCCACACTCAGTCCGCCAGATGCTGAAAAACTTGTCCACGCCTTCGTCTCCTCCAGGCTGGACTACTGTAACGCACTTCTCATTGGGATTCCTAGCAAGAACATCCAGAAGCTGCAATACATCCAAAACACCGCTGCTAGGATCCTGATGAGAGTGCGGAAGTACGAACACATCACACCCATCCTCAAATCACTGCAGTGGCTCCCGGTCTCACTAAGTATTGACTACAAAATCACCCTCTTCACTCATCAGTGCATATATGGAAATGCTCCCTCCTACATCAAGGAATTGCTCACCCCACAAACCTCCACGAGGAACCTACGTTCAGTAAAGGCAAACCTCCTCATCCCACCAAGAACAAAACTGAAGACCATGGGAGACCGAGCCTTCTGCTCCGCTGCTCCGAGACTGTGGAATGCCCTCCCAAACCAGCTGAGGACACCACTGACTGTGGATGCTTTCAAAAAAGGCCTAAAAACGCATCTTTTTAGAATAGCCTTTAACTAGATTTTTAAATCCCCCACATTATGCCATGCCGGCATGAATGTCACAGCTTTTTTATTATGTTGTTTTAATTGTTTTTTAATTGTTTTTATTGTTTTTGTTGTTTTGTTTCACCCTTTTAATTTTGTAGCACTTTGAGTTTTGTTTGAAAAGTGCGCTTGTAAATAAAATATATTATTATTATT